TTAATAATAATAAATATATAAAACTAATTACTTTTATAAATAAATCAATCTGTACAAATAGTAAAGTTAATAATACATAAAATTCACTTAATGTATAGCATAGTTAGTAAAATATGGTACGAGAAAGTTACGTATAAAATACTTACGGGTATTATACTTCGTCTCTTAGGTAATGTTACGTTTAATAGTACGTTAATGGTTATAAATATATAAAACTAATTACTTTTACAAATAAATCAATATGTAAAAATAGTAAAGTTAAGGCCTAATACCAGAAAAAGGCCCATAGTTTAGGGTTTAGGTCACTTGCACCCCTATGTTTATACCGCGTCACTTATGTCCCAAAGTTTAAAGTCTTAATGTCAAAAATGTCCTCTGACATTTTGTTGACCGTTAGACTTAACGGTCAACCAAACATCAGCCAATATTTTGTTGACTTTGTACCAACGTGTCTGCCATGTAACCAATTTGACAAAAAATAAAAATTTATTTTTAAAATTCACCTCGCCATCACCGGCCACCGCTCTCTACATCGACCCTCCTGCCTTTTTCCCATCCCTCCCAGCTGCCGCCATCCCTCCCCAAAACCCATCATCCCCTGAAATCGCACACCCATCTCACTTCTCCCTCTGCTGCGACGCACCCCATCTCAACATCCCCCGCTCTTCTATGTTTGCGACCGGCACCGCCGCCGGACAGAGCTCAACATCCCAGAACGAGTAGCCTTTGAGCGACTATCGTCGCACCGCGATCCTCCTCCACTTGCAAATACCCCTCGATGATGGGTTCAGAAGCCCGATATGGGTTCAATAGACGATTTGTTTTCGGTGAAGATCCGGCAATCTAGCCATCAACGATTCCCACATAATCTTCGACACCGCCGGTGGATGTGGGTTTTTCTCGAGCTCGCTTTTGCTTTCCGGCGCCGCGACCTCGGTTTTGCTCGATCAATCTGGTTGTGCCTTCCTAGTGCTCGATCTGGATCTGGTCCCTCTCAAGGATGTCAGTGCTATTGTCGGCGACGGAGGAGTAGAGGAGGATGGGAGGGATTGAAAGACCGGGCTTGGGCTTGAGGTGCTTGAATGGGCGGCTGAAGGGATTGACGAGGAGGATGGCCGGCAGTGAATATTCTAGCTGGCGGCGACTAGAGTTGGGGAGCTTTTCTCGATGGTGGAAAGGATAGAATTGGGGTCGATGAAATTGAAAACCCATGCCACTTTTTATTTTCTTTTTTACTTTACTTACTTTTACCTTAGTAATTCTGTAATGATTTGGCAAATAATAATTATATTTTATTGATATGTCGTCGGTCAATGGTTGACCGTCAAAAATTAACGGAGTAAGTTAATGGACTCTAAACTTTGGGACATAAGTGACGCGGTATAAACATAGGGGTACAAATGACCCAAACCCTAAACTATGGGCCCTTTTCTGGCATTAGGCCTAAAGTTAATAATTCATTTCATTAAATACGGATATTAAACGTTTGGAGTCGTAGGACATATGTTCTTCTCAATAACCACCAATTTCATAATACATAACTATAGTTCATGGTTTAAGGTTAGTGCATAGGGTATACGGTAGTGGACTCGTGGTTTAGAGTTTGAAGTCATAAGACATATGTTCTTCTCAATAACCGAATATAAAATTGACTCAACTTACATTCTTCACATAACATACATTGTAGCTTATTCTAACAATTTCATAACATATAACTATAGTATAGGGTATAGCCGTATAGGGTCATGGTTTAGAGTTCATTGTTTGCATGTCTGGGTTATGGAATTATGGTTAAGGGTTGAGGTTAGTTTTAGGGTTAATTACTTAATGTTGTGATTTAGGATAATGTATGGTTGATGGTTAAGGTTAGTTTTAGGTTTCAGATTTAAAATGGTGTTATAGGGTTAGGGTTTAGGGTTAGGGTTTCTTCATGGTTATGCTTTGTGATAGATATTTTGTGTTTTTTATAGTTTATTAATTAATTTGATTTTAACAATTAATTTAACTTGTGAATGTACATCTTAAATATATCATATTCAAATGTACATCTTAATTTGATTTTATAAACCCCAAATATTTGAGAACAAGATGTGGATTATAGTGAAGATAGAGAAAAAGATACCAACGATTGTAGTTGAAGTGAATCATAAGTTTTTCGATTTTAGAATTGTAATTTTGTTGTAAGAAACAATTATTATATTACGAATGGTATAATCTATTTCATTATTCAGATTAGTGTAATTAAAAATTGCAATTATTATATAGTAATAAAAATATACTCCATTGCATTATAAATATATTTTTTTTGTTTTTGAATTCTTTTTCTTCCCTATATTTATTTTTTCCCCAACTCCCCCAACCCACTTGCTCCAACTATACTCACTAGTCACTTCACTAGTACTGCCCGCCACCGTTTTCCCACCTTCCACAAATTCTAATCCCACACTTTCCCCCCAAAAAATTTACATTTAGTTTGAACTTTGAAATGACATTTCATTTGAATGTTGTGGAGATCAATAACATTTTGGCTAGGAGCAAGTGTTGCCGAGTTGCCGCCTTATAGTTCAGAATATTGAGTTGAGAAAAAAAATGAAAATGGTAATAATTTGTAGATGAAGTTGAGTAAGGAATATTAGAAGCGTGTGTTACCATATAAAATAAGAATGAAAGTTAAATTATACTAGAAAGCACGAATAAGCACGAATGTGAACAAAATAAAAGCACGACATAGACATGATCAGGCACGGCACGGCTTAACTCGTGCTTGGCCCGGGTCGGGCCTAATAAAACTGTTAAATGGGCTTGTATGGCACGACACGAAATTTAATGGGTTGTGCCTAGTACGGCACGAAAAATATGGGCACGAGATGGGCCCGTGCCGTGCCGGCCCAGCGCAACTCTCAACTATCAAGACTCAAGAGATGGTTTCATAGGTTTATGATCAAACAAGTTGTCAGCTTTTTAATTTCTTGTTGTTCAACTATTTATTTATGTTGGTTCTGTAACCTTAATGAATCCTCTACAAGGTACCAACAACTAGCAACATCAAACTTGTTTATGATATATTCAAGCAAAATCTAGTCATTCATTTGTTTAACAATATACATTCATGTTTTATTCATTGCAATATGGTGATCGGTGAGTTTGTTTTTAATTAGTGTAATAACTCCCTAAAAAAAAGTGTAATAACTAATTATAAAAAAAACTCGATGGTGTGGACCGAACAACCCGCAACCCGACCTGTTGTAACCCGCAATCCGATCATCCCGAACCCGATTGATCCGCAACCCGATCAACCCGTAACCCGACTGATCCGCAACCCGATCAACCCGAACCGATCAATCCGCAACCCGATCAACCCGCAACCCGATCAACCCGAACCCGCTTGACCCGCAACCCGTTTGACCCGCAACCCGATTAACCCGCAACCCGACTGAACCCGCCCCGAACCCGCCCGATTGACACCTATAGTTGTGATACATAGACTTCTTCCTAAATCACACCGTTCAAAAACGCACTTTTAACATCCATTTGAAATAAAGGAAAATCCTTAAAACACGCAAAAGCACATAACAAACGTATAGACTCAAGACGGGCGACATGAGCAAAAGTCTCGTCATAGTCGACCCCTTCTTCCTGAGAATACCCTTGGGCAACAAGGCGAGCCTTGTTTCTGGTAATAAACCCTTCCTCATCCGATTTATTTCGGAAAATCCATTTAGTACCAATAATAGATTGATTCAACGGGCGAGGAACCAGATCCCAAACATGTAAATACTCAAATTGGTTCATTTCCTCATGCATGGCAAGATTCCAGTATTCATCCTTTAAAGCATCTTTGTAATTTTTCGGTTCATGCTGAGATACAAAAGCGTAGTGACCTGGTGTGTACTTACCTCTGGTACGCAGTCCTTCGTTCAGTTCACCGATGACTTGATCAACTGGGTGGCGGCGCTGAATGTACAAGGGAGCAGCAGGGGCTGAGGCAAGAGGGATTGGATCAGGGATGGAGCTTGGACCAGAATCCGAGACATGAGGAGATGGGGGGTCTGCAGTAGTGTTGTGACTTGGAGATTTATCCTGCAGTTCTAAATTCCGAGTCATTTCTAGCAAATCAAACACAGGTATTATGGCATCTGTATCACTTAAAGGTAAGTCAGTATCATGAAAGATGACATGAACTGATTCTTCAACCTTTTTTGTTCGTTTGTTATAGACTCGATAGGCCTGCCCTTTGGTTGAATAACCAAGGAAAATGGCTTTGTCAGACTTAGAGTCAAATTTTCCTAATTTATCTCTTGTATTCAGCACATAGCAACAACAGCCAAAAGGATGAAAGTAGGATATATTAGGACTTTTGGATTTAAAGATCTCGTAGGGAGTTTTATCGAGACCTTTACGAACAAGGACTCGATTCAAGACATGACAGGCTGTATTGACAGCCTCTCCCCAGAAAACTTTGGGCAGATTGTACTCGAGAAGCATGGTACGAGCACACTCTATGAGGGTTCGATTCTTCCTCTCTACAACCCCATTTTGTTGGGGGGGTACGAGGGGCAGAAAAGGTATGTAAAATTCCAGCCTCTTTGCAAATAGTTTCAAATTCATCAGATATGAATTCCCCACCATTGTCACTGCGAATGGACTTCAGTTTTCCAGCAAATAAAGTAACAAACGTTTTGAAACTATGAACTGTATCATCTTTATGAGCTAGAAAGTAAACCCAAGTATACCTAGAGAAGTCATCAACTAACACAAAGACATAATTCTTACCCCCTAGACTTGTGACATTACATGGGCCAAACAAATCCATGTGAACAAGTTCAAACATGGCTGTTGAGGTAATGTCAGATTTGGATTTAAAACTCTTTTTCTTATGTTTACCAGAGACGCAAGCATCACAGAAGAAATCGCGCTTATCTTTCAGAGGTGGTAAACCTCGAACAAGCTTGGTTTTAGAAAGATGAACTAGCTTTTGAAAGCTAAGGTGGCCCATCTTTCTATGCAAGTGGGATTTCTTGCTGAGAAGAAGCTGTTAAACAGAGTTCATGGAAAGCATCTAGGTTATGCAAGTCAATAGTATACATATTGTTTATTCGATTACCTACAAACACAACCTGTTTATCCTGGATGCGTTCAACTATGCAATGTGTGGATTCAAACGAAACTCGATTACCACTCTCGCATAGTTGACTAATAGACAGTAGGTTGTGATGTAATCCATCGACCAAAAGAACATTGTGAATAGTAGGTGAAGGATAAGTTCCTATGGTACCAGATCCAATGATCTTACCCACACCATTATCTCTGAATATCACATTGCCCCCATTTTTAGGAGTTAAATCTGAGAAAAGAGAGCGTTTGCCTGACATGTGGTGTGAACACCCACTGTCGAGGAACCAAATGTGATCACTATCCACAGTTTTGTTAGGTTTGGAAGATGATACCTGAGCTTTACCATTCTTGGAGGTAGATGCCATGAATGCTTGATCATCAATTGGTTCTGTCTCGGACTCATAATCATAGTCGCTCCAAGATGCCTTCATTGCTTTCTCTTTAGATTTGAGAGTTAACGGACACTGGGCTCTGATGTGACCGTGCTTTCCACATTTGTAGCATGCTTGGGATTCTTTCTCAGGATAACCTGTATCAACATATCTGGTCTGCCGGGGAAGCAGCCTTTCTTGAGAAACATGATTAGAACGACCAAAAGTAGGATGCCTTGAATCCTCAGCTCTAGTTTTATGATCATTCTTATACTTCATCATACGATGAAAGCGTTTGCTAACAAGAGCAAATTCTTTATCAAACTCAGAATCTGATTCACTTTCGGATCCATACATAACAACTCTAGATTTGAAAGCAAGGCTCTTCTTACGCTTATCGTCCTCTAAGTTCACCTGTTTTATGACATTTTCATGACTTAGCAAGGAGCCTATTAATTCATTAATAGGGAGAGTGGAAAGATTTCTTGCTTCCTCAATGGCAGTGCGCTTTGGCAGCCATTCCTTAGGTAGAGACCTAAGGATTTTTCGATTAAGATCCTTAACAGGAAAAGTGCGCCCTAAGCCCTTCATTTTGTTGATCAAAATAGTGAAGCGAGAGTACATATCATGAATAGATTCTTCAGGCAGCATATTAAACGCCTCATACTCATGGACAAGCAAATCAATACGAGATTCGCGAATATTAGAGGTACCTTGTACGTGCGTTCCAGAGCTACCCAGATTTGTTGGGCTGTTTCGCAATCTTCGACTTGATCTGCCTCATCGGGAGTCATCGCTGATTGCAGGACGTGCATCGCGCGTTGATTAAGTTGAGCGCTTTTCTTTTGAGCGGCCGACCACGTCGCTTGTTCTTCTGCAATCATCGGAATAGGCCCATTTTGGACGATCAGCCACAGTTCTTCGTCGATGCCCCACATGAATTGCTTCATCCTCTTTTTCCATGCTGTGTAATTAGCACCAGTAAATATGGGAGGATGATTAATAGTAGCTTGACCAAAAGAAGATGTAGCCATGGATCGTTTCCTTGGCAGTGGTGAGCTTCGTCAAGGACTGGCTCTGATACCACTTGAGAAATGAAGAAGAGAGAAGAGAAGTAGGGTTCGAAGGGTTTGGGAAAATTCGGAAGAGGAAAACGAGAGGAAAGGGAAGATAGATATTTGATCTGCTCTCTAGTCTTCACTTTCTTTGTTTTCAAGACTGGGCCCAAACACCAACAAAAGCCCACAACTTAAGCTAAATAACAAGAAGATAAATAACCACTTAAGCCCAGTTATAAGGCCCACTCATCAATCTCTGAAATTCATCATCTTCCACGAAGATGAGATTAACAGGATGCAGGGGACTTGATCAAAACAGGGGAAGTGAAGAAAGCAAGCAATGCAGCAAGTGAAATGGAAGAACACAACGATTTTAACGAGGTTCCCCAAGCTACGGGTACGTCCTCGTCCCGGAGATAGCACTTGCTACACTCCGAGAGACTCTTCTTTTTATTGATTTTTTTTCTATCAAAAGAACAACAAAAATACAAGATGCAAACAAAGATAAAACCCGAATCCAATCCCAGACTCGTAAGCAACCAACAACTGACTCCTATTCCTCCAGTTGTAGAACCCCTTAGATAATACCAATAGTCATGTGCCACTATCTATCTAAGTGCAAAGCCAGAGGAAGAGACAGCTTAATATAGGAACAGGAAGTAGCCGTTGAAATCCAAAATAGGAAGGAGCTCCCAGGCCTTCCATAATCACAGCCTTTAATTCCTCAACGGTCAGCGGCAAAGGAAATCTCCAACTTCGGCTGTGCTTCTGTCAACATCTTGAGTGTGACGAAATAGGGTTGTAGAGATGGCATACTAGCGTTATGGATTTTTACTGGTGTGCTCTTGCTGTATACTTAATTTCTGATATGCAGGGGAAGCATTCTGGTAGAGAAAGGAAAATCAAAGAGGGAAGACAAATTAGTGTTAGTGTTGATTGAGTCTAGCAAGTGAGTTAGGTCTCAATTCACCGAGCCACTATAGAGGACTGCATTGGAAACCTGGATTTCTTATACAAGAACAGAAATAGAACGAAGTTGAAGGCAAGGAAATGAAAACAAAGCTTGATCGAAAAACACACAGCTGTACATACAATGGAATTGTGTTTATGGGTTTTGTGAACTTATTTGGTTACTGGACTTTCATTTACTCGGTTAAGCTTAGAAGGGCTGAACGTGATTTCCAACAAAGCTCTTAATTTCGTTAAACCCAACCAAGCCCAACTGCCCAAGACAATGTAAATTGAACGAGCTCTTGAGATGGTGGACCGGAGAAACAGGGCGGGATCATCTCCTGCGGTGAATGGATTCCCCTGTTTACTTCCCTTGAAACAGAGTAGCTGGCCAGTTTTGTCGGGTGCTTAAGGGAGAAGATTCTAAATGGTTCCTTCTTTTTGTCCCTCATGTCATCCTGTGTATTAATTGACCACGAATAAATCCCTCCGTTTCTTACTTTTACGTTTTCCCAATTTTGGCGTTAATTATCTTTTGTGGTTAATGGCAATTGATTGTCATCTAAGAATAGCATCGTGTTGCCATTATGGTTAATGAATTTTGTTTTAATACATTTTCCACAACCAACCCAAGATTCATATTGCCAATTACCAACTACCTCCTATTAAGATTTAAGGCACTAACAGCTACTAACCTAAAAAAAATTATACATCCAATAAAATTAGTGCTTGAAACAAAGGTTCAGATATCTATAAAGCCATGACCAAATCAATTGAATATTTAGCGTAACAAATATTTGAAATCATACTTGATGAACTTTTTCTAATAAACCTGCTCGATAAAGTTGAGATACATATACTTAATTTAATTTTTTGCACAATTCTCTGTATTATTATGCTAAACAAAACAATATATGTTCTTACAAATATATTCTGCATGAAATTATGCAAAATAAATATGAGGCACCTCAGAAAAATAACAGGAATTTATAAATGTCGCTCAAGTAAATACATCCTGTGAACTAATAGTCGTATTTGTGGTTGATTTTGCTAAAATATTTTCAAGATAGACAAAATGAGTAAGAGGAAGATTCATGATGTAGATGACAATATAGTTACTTGCTCTTTCAAAATTGCACAATGTTTGTGAGATATAGATCGTGATATTTTCTACTATCCTATACTAACATATCAACCTTTGATCATATTATATTTAAAGAAGACAGTTGTACCAGTATTTTGATACTTCACATGTAATTTAACTTAACTTAATTTAGCATCTTATTTAGTGTCCTTTAAACCTATTAACAACTTGGTCAGGATTTTGTGATAAAAATAAATTAATCTCTCATGTGATTTAAACCATACATCATAATTTTAACTATAAATACTTAAATCTTAAACGTATGGTTCTATGTAAAATTCTAAGTAAATAAAAAAAATGTCCACAAAGAGCTAATCAAATCAAATTAAGTTCCTCATCAACAAATGAAAAATTCAAAAGTGTGAAACAGTAGCAAAAACTATCCAAGTTAGATTAACAATTTAATGTACGTAAAAATAACATGTACAATCCATGAAAAATGTAGAAACAAAAGTTAATGATAATGTCTCTCATATTTAACATGCCATTACAGAAATAGGCTATACATCATGTTTCTACACAAATCATATGCTAATAGTAAACATCTTTATATCGTCAGTTCAAACAAAATAGACTTATAATGCGAAAGAAAAAAAAACACTATTACATAAACCAATAAGAAAGAAGATTGTAAAACAACGCAAAATAAACCAACCAAACAAAATGCAATGCAACGGGCGGGTGAAAAACTAATAATGTTATATGTTATTAGTTATTACTCATATTTAAGATGATATTTGATATAATTTATGAGAATAAGTACAATATAATGACTCTTTCCATATTCCCGGGCTAAAACATGTGATTCGTTAATAAGGATGACAATTTCGACCTGACCCGATTTACTAGACCTGTTTGCCCAATTTTGGGCGGGCATGGGTACCTTTTATCGACCCGACCTGCCCTGACCCGCCCCATTCTCGACCCATTCTTGCCTAAATTACATGTAATCTTAGTCAAATTAATTAGAATTTTCCTTTTATTACATCATATTTTAGCTATAATAAAGTTGTAAATAGGTGAAAATCTCAATTTCTCCAATAATTTAACTACATTTTATCATATTATGGTTTCTTTCTTGGTCTTTTAATAAAAATAATGAATATTTCTAATGTTTGTCTCATAAATTACACACCCATTGGGTCGACCTGCCCCGACCCGTGCTCCATTATAAATTACCCGCCCTGCCATGGGGCGGGTATGGGTATCGAGATACCCGCCCCATTGCCATTCCTACCCGTTAACCCTTGACTCACTAGCTCGACCGGGTCCGGGTCAACCCGCGGGTTGAAAACCTTGAACAAAACATAAAACACACTTCTTGAGTTTCCCAGTATACTAGACATGAAGATAAAGACAGACATAATGGAAGGTCCCATCTCGTTACCCAGATCCAGTTGACATCTTTAAGATTGCCGCGGCTGCTCTCCTCGGGTAACCTTCTCCTGCCAGATGTGTCCTCTTCCCCTCTCTGCACCTGGTGAGTGAGATTGGGTCAGTCTCGTCGTTACTTCTAAAGGTCTTTGCCCTAGGCAAACTTTCTACTAACACGTTATTAGAGTTTCCTTCCTAGCACGAAAGCCGTTCTCGCTTTCTGCTCTTAAATAATCATCCTTTCTACTAGCTTATAGAAGCTCTCTACTTCTATCCTGAACTCATAGAAGTTCACTGCTTCTATCCTGAACTTAGATACCAAACACTAGGGACCACCGCGTTACGTCTTGTCGTCCGGTTGAATACCCAAACTCGGCAATGGCACTGCTTTACGTCTCGTCGTCCAATCCATGCTCGGTCAACTAATGCGTTACGTCTCGCCGTCCAGTAGTGACCCCAACATACTCGATCAACTGCTGCGTTACGTCTCGCCGTCCAGCAGAGATCCGACCATCTACCGCGTCCAGTAGTGGCCCAACCGCCCGGGGGTTCATCTTACCATTATTAACCAACTATTACAATCATTCTTCCATACATTCATACATAGCACAACGCGTGCCTCTACCCTGATAGGCGGTGGAATGCCTCACACACATATCGCGCATTCTAGAAAATTAACGAACATAACTTAAAGGAACAACGTAAATTAAAAAGACCTACGAGTGAGATTTTACCCCCTTTACACTCACCTCGAAACGATGACTCCTCGATTCCTTCCTCGAAGAAATCCCTCCTTAGCCGAATTATCTCGGAAAACCTATTAATTAGAAATTCATTTTCTTAGACGACCTTTCTCAATTTAAAAACCCCTTTTTAATTACCAAAACACTCTATCCTCAAAGTCCCAACCTCAAACCTCATTCAAATGGTCCCTTAACCTCCTTTAACCATTTCTCCAGAAGTAATCCCTTCAAAACTGACCATTTATACTAATTAATTTCATCTTGGACGAATTCTTCACCTACGTTGAACCTTCTTAAAAATTCGAATAATAATTTTCCCATAATAATTAGAGGAGCCAAGATCATGTAAAATTATCAAACTCTTAAAAGACCCTCAGCAAG